AGGAGGCCCTTGGGCTTGGCTCTTTGAGCCCTAGGACAGGAAGGGTCTCCACGCCCCTACATCTCTGGGGATTTGGGCATCACACCTGAGCAGGCTGAGGGCAAGCCTGACCACACAGGCTAACACCCTTGATCTGCTCAGCAGATAAACAGCAGAGTCGAGGCCTGAAGAGTCAGCAGCTGTCCTCATCCTTTCACGACATCTTAAGTTCCAGCAAAGATCATGGCCCCAGGCAAGAACACAAACAGGACAAAGGTGAAAACAAGCCCATCCCGCCTTACTCCACTGTAAATCTCCCCCATTTCGCTGAAAAAGAAGAGAACCTCTCCAACCACATCAACGAAAGCCTGCGTTGGGACGGAGTTCTCGCTGACCCAGAGGCGGAAAAAGAAAGGATTCGCCTATATAAGCTGAACCGGAGGAAGCGGTACCGCATTTTGGCCCTCAAGGGCTTCCACTCTGACCTGGGTGGCGAGGAGAGCCCTGAGAACCTTCTGTACCTCTGCGATAAAGACAGCAGCTCGGACGGCAGGCCCTGCTTTGAAGGAAGCCTCGCTCCCAAGCTGCTGCCCTCTGACCTGGCTGCTGCTGCGCCACAGTGAAAATCCAGCCTGACGCTTTCCCGAACCACCAGCTTTTGTGTTACCAAAGAATAATAATAAAAGGAAATCAGGCTGTCTGAAGGAAGCAGATGTCTGGTGTGTCGATGAGGTCAGCTTCTCCGTCCACCAGGGTGCCTCTCGTGGCCTGGGGAAGGCACTGTTTCTGAACAGAAGCCATGGAATGGACAGAGCTCTTTCTGATTTTCTTTTTTCTTAGATAATCTGGCATCTCTTTGTTACTTAATTTCTCATCACCGACATCTGTAATCTCCTCTAAAAGAGAAAGTGTGTAGATTATATCGATTCTAAATCTAAAGCTAATTTAATGGGTGAAACTCCTCACACAGCATGCTTCTCTAGGCCGAAGGAAAATGCCCCAAATATCCCGGAGGGTTTTTTTTGTTTTGTTTTGTTTTTTTAAATTACATACACTCCCTGCCCTTATGTGGTCTTCAAAATAACTGAGTTCCAGAACTCCATCCCTGGGAGATAATTATGAGAAGTCTCAAAAGGAATATTGCTTCTCTTCTAAATATGGTCCTCCCAAGGGAGCGAATTGGCAGTTGCCAGAGGGGAAGGGGGTTGGGGGTGGGGGAAACGGGTGAGGGGGCTCAGTGATGGGTGGTAAGCAGACTTGTGGTGGTGATCACATTGTAGCATCAGACACCTGAAGCTTATGTAATTTTACATACCAATTTTACTTCATTAAAAAAAAAAAAAATATATATATATATATTCCTCCTCTAATCCCCTAAAACAGCATTTTAAGCAAAGTTCTAGAGCATTAAAAAGGTCCTACTACACTACTTGTCCTAAGTTAATATTCTTCCTTTGCTCCAATATTTATTAAGTGGGGGCCAAGGTGTTGCATTAGTTTGGGTTCTCCAGAAGCACACCCTGAGACAAAGACTCAACTGGAAATAGATTATTTGGGATCTAAAGGAAAGCTCAGTAGGGAAGGCACAGGGAGGGGAAGCCAGCCAATCCAGGGGCACAGTTAAGCCTGTTTCCATACTGGAGCTTAATCCCATCTGGAAACATTGTCAGGCTTCTCACGCCTGAGCCTGAGGGAGCTGGGCCATTCTACTGCCCATAGGCCTTGGCTGAGGGATGGTCCTGGTGGGGGGGGGGGTGTTAATTTCCTGGCATTTCCTAGAGGCCTTCCTCAGGCACAAAGATGCAGATCTGGAGGTCCAGGGTGGGGTAGTCTTTATGCAACATGGTGCAGGGCCCAAGAGGGACAGAGCAGCAGTTTAAGATCAGGTTCCTGTCTTCCAAGGAGTTACGACCTGCATTGTACTCAGGAGAAGTTGAAAGCCAATACAAAACATTACAGAATGCTTTTTTGAAAGTGAAGGGAAAGTGGTCATCTTGGTCCCTGCTAGCCCCAGCTGACACAGCAGCCCTCTTTTCACCTTTCCTTAAATGGCCACTTACAAAGTTGTTACCATACTGTGACAAAATATAGCAAAGAGACTTTTGGAAAAGCCATGTCCTCTCCCTAGACTCTCTAGGTTAGCAGCCAGGTCCAGCAGGGACCGTCAAGCAGACAGGAATAGCCCTCCCTGGGATGCTGTCCAGATTGAGGGGCACCTATAGAATCAAGTGAAGAGGAACAAGGGCTTTGGTGTGTCCGCATGGGGAGGAGACGGGACATGTGTTAATCCTCAGCCACAGGACCTTGCCTGATGCCTCAGGGCTCCAGGTAAAGACAGCAGAGGATGGAGCGGTTCAGTTGTCCTCTGGATCAACCGTAGTTGCTGGGGGTGTGGTGCATGGGACAGTGAGGCCACAGGATGCCTTGGTCGCTTTACAGGGGCGTCTTCCATGCGTGGTGAGAGTGGGGCTGGCCTGTGATCACCTTTCTGCTATGAGATTTCCCGGTGCGGTGGTTAAAATGATGAGCTTTGACATCAGAGCTGAATTTATGTCTTTCCCGCTATGTGCTAGCTGTGTGAACTTGGGGAGATTGTTTAACCTCTCTGAGCACTAACCTCCCACATCTGGAAACAGGGACACAGCTACTTACCTCCGTGCGGTGGGAATCAAATGCAGTACTTACATAACTCCTTTAGCAGAGCGCCTCGCCCCTGGGAAGCACTCAGTCCACTGGGAGAGTTTTGAGCGACGATATTTTAGGTTGGGGCGGCTGCACAGCCACTGAGGAGGCTGTCCTGCTGACGGTGTAGTGCTCATTCCATCAGAGGGTGTTTCATAGTGGGATGTGGGTAGCCAATAGATACAACTTGAAGAAACCACAAAACAAATTACAGGGGTCTGGAGCAAGAGGGAATGCAAGAGAAATGAAGCCAGGGTCTCAAAGTCTGGTGGTCTGGGGGCCTTGGGGCGAAACATAAAAGTGCCCGCATGTAACCTGGGACTACCAGCTAAGAAGCCTGCTTCAGAGACAAGCGGAACAAAGCTGAACTCAACACCTAGCCTTGGGCAGAACTGCCCCATCAGACCTGTCCATTTTTACACAAGAAATAAATGCCTGCTGCCGTGTGCCACTACGGTTTTGTGGTTGTTACGCAGCAAGAGCTGACTAATGGCAGGTGTTCCATGAAGGCCCACAATAAACATATTTGGGATCTGCAGCTTTTCATTTTGCCAAACTTATTTGATCATAGAACCTTATTTTATTCCATAGAAAGCATTTCGGGAAGTAGTGTTATGAATGAAACACTTTGTAGTATTTCTGCTCTAAAATAAAATTATTAGAATTCAATTTCGAGGGGCTCCTGGGTGGCTCAGTCAGTTAAGCGGCTGCCGTCAGCTCGTGTCATGATTCTGGGGTCCTGGGATCAAGTCCCATATCGGGCTCCCTGCTCAGCGGGGAGCCTGCTTCTCCCTCTCCCTCTGCCTACTGCTCCCCCTACTTGTGTGCTCTATCTCTCTGCCAAATAAATAAAGTCTTAAAAAAAAAAAAGAATTCAGTTTTGAGAAGAAGTATTTCTTGCAATAAGATTTGTTACCTAGTCAATAGAGTCATTCCCTTCTCATATTTCTGGGAAGTATATGAAAATGGCTTCCTAAGATTTATCATATTATTCATTAAACCTGCTACTTTTTCCCTTGAGGTACCAGCTTAATCCGATATGCTTAGAAAGGTATTTTTGAGGCAAAATTGAAATATTATTAGTTTCAACATGTTTGCTTCTCTCTCTACACACACACACACATACACACACACAATTATAGCTTTAATCTACATGCTTTAAATATTTTTCCAACATAACCTTGGAACTGCTATTAGCTCATTCATTTTATGGGAAATTTACACTATATAACCTAAGTGGCAGTGTTAGCTCTTGTCACCTGAGCCAGCCAAATTAATTTCTGTTAAAAAGAGATTGGCTTAAAAAAAAAAAAAACAACCCACATGCACACATATAATTATATGCATTCTTGGGACATATTTAAGTTGTAACTCAAAGATTAACCGATAAGCCACCAAGCCTGGCTGCGAATTTGACACTTGAGTGAAATAAGATGCCTTCACTTTCGATAATTCTTATCAACTCTTCTCTTATCAACGCTTTGCCCAAAGGGACTTTCCATCAGGGAAGACAATGGTCTGAGATTGAAGAGATTGTAGGTATTAAATGAATTATGTTATCACTCCAGCTGCCTCACTTCGAGATACTGGAAGTAAGAACTTCCCACGGCAGGCGGACCTCACTTTTGCCCCTGTACTTCATTCTTGACAAGAGTGTGTGTGAAGGACACTGATAGACAAGGAGCCCTACAGTGGGGTCCTGGTGCCCTGATTCCAGTGTTTCTAACTGTCCCTTTGTCCAGTGCCTACAGGTTTGTCCGGCCCAGAGCAATGTCCCACCGTCAAGTAAATATGTGTTAGACTAACACATGTATTTCTTCTGCAAAATGGGAGAAAGGCAATTTTTAAAAAATATTTTATTTATTTATTTATTTGACAGAGATCACAAGTAAGCAGAGAGGCAGGCAGAGAGAAGCAGGCGCCCCACTGAGCAGAGACCCCGATGCGGGTCTCGATCCCAGGACCCTGAGACCATGACCTGAGCTGAAGGCAAAGGCTTAACCCACTGAGCCACCCAGGCGCCCCAAGAAAGGCAATTTGAAAGGGGAGGCAGGAAAGAAGGGACCGGCCCAGTCATAATTTCAGGGTAGGTGGGTTTTAGCCAAGAGTACACATTGAATCTGTGAACAAATGCCCTAAAACTTTCTGTGCTGAGGGGTGCCTGTAAAATCTTTCTGTACCCCCAGGGGAATGCTCCTACAGACAGAAGTATCATGGTATTAAAATACAATCACATCTTAAAATTTCTCAAGATGAGGTGTTTTTCTCATGTTTCTTCACCAAAACATGATTTTACTGTAAAAAAGAGAGGCATCTCTAAGTTTTGTTTCTTTAAAGATAATTTATTGTTAAATGAAGAGGTCACAAAGCAAAATGGAATGGGACAGATGTCAAAGATAAATTTAAAAAATAGTTTTTGTCAAACACTGTTCTGGATTTCCTAAGGTTAGAAACAGGAAAAGAGTCAAATGAAAAGGTAATTATTCTTTTCAAAAGGTCTGACTTTGAAAAGGAAACAACTTTTCTCTGAAAATACAAATCATCCTTCTTACATGAAAGCTATAATTTAAGAGACTGAGAAAAAAGACTTTTTAATTCATAAGTAAACCGTATCTCTCAGATATGCTTAAGAATGGTTGGTTTTAAGGAATTTTAAAAATCATTGCTTCCACCTCGTAAAGTCACACACAAGTCCACCAAGATCAATGTCATTTGATCCACCCTGAAGTGTCCCATTACATCTTCTTACGCTTCTTTCCTGTAATTTGCCGCAAAGCAGGTTTGAAGAGAAAGAAAGGATTAGAAAGAACTGCAGTTAGTTCCCTAGCGAATAACTTAAGATAAAACCTGCTTTTCAATTTGCCTTACCCATTCACAATGACTCATTTCTACTTACTTTACTGATATATTTCAGATTCTCTCCACAGCTAGAATGCTTTGTCCAAACTTAACCCAACCCTCCAAAAACAAAACAAAATCTCATACGGACATCTCAAAACGTTGCCGTTTTGGCCATGTTCTCCCATATGTCTCTCCTGCCACGCTGCCTACAATATCGTTCTGAGCTCATCCACGTGTCCCCACTGGGCCAGGACACAAAGCCTTGGGAACTCTCTTAACATAATTTAAAAATTACATTTACCGCTTGTCTTAAATGCCACGATTATGAAATCAGAGAGGAAAAAAATCCATTTTCATCAAGAAATGCCATGTAATTTACTCTTCCAAAGGAGGACAGCATCTGTCACTCTGCATAACGGAGGTCCTGGAGTCCCAGAGTGCCACCTTTACGGGTCGCCACTGAGCTTCACTGTGGCAAACTGGGGACCACGAACCCACTCAAAGCCTCTACCGAGGGTTTCGTCCAACAGTTAGGGGCATGACGGACCACACTACATTAAAGCTGAAGAAGACACCGGACAGTTTGGCTCTAGAGGCTTCGAATGACTTTGAGAGCGATTATCATCACGCCTGCTCTCCTCAGAACATAACTCCCTGCTGTGGCTCCACGGTCCCCAGACAGCTCTCGATTCCGTTTTCAGGACACACAGAAGCCATCAACAGAAACCCCAAAATACAGCGGGAATCCGGGTTTACAATACTCTACAACCCTCAAGCACATGGTCTAATTTGGATGTATTCAAAGGAAATATTCACGGATTGTTCTTTCCAATATTGGAAGAGAAAAGGCCGCCTGCCACATTTTTCACTCAAACCCCTCAGGGCTTGGCAGGAGGAAGAGGCATGGGCTGGTGGGGAGGCAGGGGGGGCCGTGGGCTGAAGCCAGACACAGCCTGGCCCACAACAGCCTCTGGCCCAGCCACCCCTTCTGCTTCTGAGCCTGGCTCAGCTGAGCTCTCGAAGTGTCCTCCACATGCGCCAAACGCCATGATTGTCACTTACGTTACAGTAAGCACTTACAAGAAACATGCACCATCCCAACGGCGCCCAAGTTTTGGGGTTTGGCTTGTGACATCAATCCCTATCCTGAAGTCACCTTTCCTGCACCTGGAGGGAACGATGGGGCGATTTTCTTGCTTTCTGGCTTAGACTTAAGGCACTGCAGAATTCCTCTGCGGTGTTGACCCCGTCGAAGTTGACCCGGGGTCCCTGGAAAGGACGCGCATGCTGATGAAGCAGGTCACTGGAAACATCTACATCTGCCTCTCCCAGACGCCAGCCAGTCCTGCATGAGCCGAAACCTTATGGAGTCCCCAAAAGTGGTTTCCCTCAGCAGTCCTTCAAAATGCTGTTTCTCTAGGCTATGTTTTATCTTATGAAGAAAATAGGAAAGTATTTGGAAACCCAAAATACATATCAGGAGAGTTACACAAGCCTGGGGAGACATTACCAGATGCCAAGTGTTCAAGGCACTTTGCCCAAGCTCGGACCCTACCAGTGGAAGGACCCAGAACTGAGGCCACGGCTCTCACATGGGTCCCTGGTAGATGTGAGCCTCCTGAAGAGTGGGGAGAACAGGGTGAACCTTTTCTCTCTTTCTTAAAAAGGCATCTTATATTGTGGCTTGGGGTTTTTTTGATAAGAGGATGTAGAGAATTCTAAGAGTTTGGGTGAACAGGAATACAAATGGAAAAGAAAATAAATGATGGAGTGGAACTGAGCTCTCCACAGGTTGGACCCAGTTGGTGGTCACAGCTCAGGGAACCAGCACTGCTGTGGGGGAAGATGACTCGGGGCTGGAAGGTCTTACAGCTCACTTTTTCCAGCCCAGAGACTTTATCCACGCTCTTCCTCAGGCTAACCGGCCGAGAGGAGAAGAGCCCTCTTCTCCCTCCCTATTTCAAACTGGGGCCATTTTCCTTTCGCTCCAGTTGGCTTTCTATTTGTTCAACAAATTGAGACTTTGGGGAAGCCATGCAGCGGCAAATGAGAAATACACGCCTTTGGAGACCAATCTGAACACTTTAAAAAACCCAGTTCTCTCCATGACTATAAGAGGCTGTGACATTGTTTTCTTCCCCAGGCCGGACTTTGAGGGGCAACGACGAGGCCAGACTCCTCTGGAGCACGTGGGCCCCTCGAGGGCAGCGGAAGAGCCGGTCCGAGCCCACCCCGCCCCCGTCAGCACTCATCAGAGAGGCCGTCGCTGCCCAGGACCTCTGAGGCTTCGAGCTCCACGCTGGACAGGAACCTCCTCAGCGTCTTGCGGCAGTTGTAATCCAGCGTGGTGGTGTAGATGGTCTTGGGGTACTTGGGGTAGACGATGGTGGTGCTGAGGAAGCGGGCAGCCTTGTGGCGGGGCTCGAAGCGCACTTCCGCCTTGTAGCTGCGCCAGGTGGAGTCGGGGAGGCAGGTGACGGTCTGGCTGCAGGAGGCCACTGCCAGGCCCAGGGGCAGGTGGATGTTGTCGATGAAGTGCCGCTCGGAGTCATACTTGACGGACGACGTGTACCTGGGCGGGAGAGAGAAGGCAGCTCGAAGCCGTTCCGCTGAGCTTGGGGCACGATGGCCTCCACTGTGACCTTGATCCTCTGGTGGGGTGCGAACCCCGAGACCAGGCTGCTCTCGTCAGAAGCAGCCCAGAGCTGAGGAAGAGCTTACTGGGCGGTACGGTTCAAAGCACTTTCTTTCCAGGATCTAACCTAACGGAACCAAGCACCCGGGAGAAGAAATGGCCGCACAGAGGTCAAGGTTACAGTGGGAGTGAGTGGTGGGGCTGGGATTTACGGGCAGGTGTGCAAGATCCCCACGTTCACCCTGCACGCACTGTTTCTCCTGGCAGGCGGCAGCCCCTGGAGGCGGCGCCCGTGTGTGTAAGCTGGAAGAGCCGCTCCAGCTGCTTTTCCATGTCTTGTTTCCTCTTTCTGAGAAATGTGCCCAGAAGTAACTGAACAAAGTGTTCACATGCGGCAAGTGGTGTATGTCAGTGGCAGAACAAGGCGGGTTCTACCCCCTCATAGGGGTCCATGCTTTGTTTTCTCTGTCCCCTGAAGTCACCATCAGCTTGCTTTTTTTTAAATGAAGCTCTCTGTCCAACGTGGGACTGGAACTCATCTGACCCTGAGATCAAGAGTTGCATGCTCTACCGACTGAGCCAGCCAGACGTACCGCCCCTCCCCACATCGGCTTTTTAATGACAGAATGAAGGAACCCAGGAATTCTTAAAAGTTCAGTAATACCGAGTACTAGAACTTGGTCCCCCTTGGTCTTCGATGGGGAGACCCCTCAAACCAGAGACTCGGAGATCTGACCTTATCAATTAGAGCCAATCACCATCTTGATTTCCACAAAATAAATCAACTTCCATGTTCCTCAGCAACTACTTTACCTTTTTTTTTTTTTTAATTCTTTCTTTGGTAATTTGGGAGCTAATTATTATTATTTTTTAATGTAAGCAAAGCATTAGTTCATTTTATTGAGTAATTATTACAGCTTCATAGAGCTTCACACAGACTCTACCCATGGGTCCAGGAGTAAGAATCAGCATTCTTTCCAGTGGGTCGGTTGGATGATAGAAACATTTATTCATTCCCCTTAAGCAAGTGGGTAAGAGGCTGGCGGAAGCTAAGGTCGGGAAGTCATGTCCTCATTTTGTTCAAAATAAAAGCTCCACAGGAATAAAGGACTGAACTGCTCACCTCCAAACTGGTGAGCTGCCTTTGTTCCCCATCAAAGGGCCCTTTGTGTTAGGGAACTGAAATTCCAGCAAAAAAAAAAAAACAAAAAACAAAAAAAAAACCCCACAAGCTACCAAAAGTAAAATTCCTTTCCCTGAAGAGACAGATCTTTAACAGAGACTCTCAGTGGATCTTTGCCCCCAGGTAATCCCGGATGAGATCAATTCCCAAAGGAAGACTCGCCCTTGCCCAGTGAAACTGTAACAGGAGACAAGGGTAGAGCACCTTGAAGCAGGGGCAGGGCAACGGGGGACGCAGCTTCCTGAAAGAGGAATTATTTTATTATAAAGCTCTATGCATCTGGTGGTCATGATATGCAAAGGCAAAAAGGGCAAAAAGCAAGTCGCAGGACTTTACATATAATATGATCTTGTTTTTATTTCAAAGGGTGTACCTATATATTAATATATCTACATATAGATATAAAATATCTATATATAACATATATTTATATATAGATATTTTAAATTTTTAGAAGATTTTAAGATTTTATTATTTATTTGAGAGAAAGAGCACAAGCAGGGGCAGCAGCGGAGAAGGAAAAGCAGGCTCCTGACAGAGCAAGGAGTCCGATACGGGGCCCCATCTCAGGCCCTGAGACCATGACCCAAGCCGAAGACAGCAGCTCAACTAACTGAGCCACCCAGGTGCTGCAGGGCGTGTCTATATATTTAATTGGTTAGAACACATAAAGAAATCCAACACAGTACCCAACAAACTATGAGTAGTCTTTGGCACTTTTTTGTGATTAACTTTTTAAAAACAAACAAACAAACAAACAGGCATTCATTTCTGGAATAAACAAGGAAAAAATGAAAAACTCCAATCCAATCTGTGCCCACTGTATTTACCTTACTTCCATTGGTGGTAAGGGGTCAAACTCTACTCCTTCGCCAAAGGACAGAGGGCACAGCCTTGGTGAGCAGGCAAAGGTCAGAGGGCTGGGCAGAGATGCTGGGTTCTGCAAGAATGGAGAAGGCAGTTAGACCACAGGCCAGGCCTCCCCCATGGCTCTGAGCTTCCAGCTGATGGGCTCGACTGTGATTTGTGTCCCCGTCCTGGGAATGAACCTGGAGTAAGGCCGCCCCACAGCATGGGAAGAGCTTTGGCTGGAGAACCAGGAGGCCTGGGTCACATCACGTGCCTCATTACCTTATCTGTACACCAGGGGGATGCCTCCTTTCTTCACTGGGATTTTGTGAGAGGTTAAGGAGCTCAGCATCATGACCCTGGGATGAGACCTTTGGGCGGCTGCCCCATCCCGCATCAAGGCAGTGGGAAAACCTTGACAAACTGGGGTTTCACTAACCAGAACCCTCAATGATGTATCCCCCAACGCTGCCATGGTCTCAGCAACACTCCAGAAAAGGCCAGAATGAAAAAATTCTACCAGAAATTTTTTCACACTGAAGATTCAGTGGGACTTGACCTGTGCCTTCCCAGCCTCTGGGACGGCTCGATGAACACCCAACCAAGACAGAGGGAGCCACAAACTCACTGGTAAGATGAACACCAAAAAAGTTCTCTACACCACCTTCCACTGCTCGGCAAACTCGAAGAACCAGAGCACAGCATCCCTTAGAGGTTATCTGGCTCCCAGCCTGGACGAGGCCCTGAACTTTCTGGTTCATCAGGTAGCCTGAATAAGGGAGGGTTCTGTCCTAGACACAGGTGCTAGTTTTCCCCGAGTTGACTGGAATTGGGCCTCTGTGGTAAGTGTTCAACAGGGAGCAGCGCCTTGGGTTCCTGGGGTTACTGGCAATCTGTCACTTTCTTTGCCTGATTTGAGAGAAGGATCCACACTTGGGCCAGGATGTGGAGGTGGCAGCCCCGCCCCCCGACGTCTTCCAAGGTAAAGGAAGCAGACAGTTTTAGAAGAGAGGCTCTAAGACTTATCGTGTTACCAGGCCAGTGCCAAGTGAGGGTGCAGGGTTGAAATACGAAGTCAAAGGGGACCAGGGTAGGTGAGGGAGGGGCGAAGTGTCCTCTGGGTCCAGCTCCTGAACTTGGGTGGAGGGCTGAAGAAGCCCTGGCTGGAGGAGGGGCTGTGGCTGGGAACCGTGGTCAGTAGACGGGGGCAGGGGAAGGTGTGAGCACTGACTGCCACAGAGCTTTCGGAAATAGCCCCCAAGCAGGGACAGTGGGCCCTGCTCTGCCCCCAGCTCCCTGGCTACCAGACCCTCGACCTAGGGAGTGCCTCAGGGCAGCCCTGGGGGCTGCGGGATGACAGCAGGAGGGGAGGTGCACAACTCTCCCACACTCACACTGCAGCCAGGAAGTCACACAAGCCCTCAGTTCTCCTGCCCCTGCCTTATGGGCTCTCTCCTCCCTGCTAACCCAACAGACACGCCACACCTCGGTGCAGGTGCAGGCTGGAAATGGGACAGGCATCAGGAATGACAACAGACACATGAACAAGGTGCCACCAGGGAATGGGGACCAAGCCATTGATTCTGGCATGACTCTGGGAAGCGTCAATGAAGACTTCCCCGAGGAGGTGACAAATTGAGCTTGAAGGGCCAGCAGGGGTCTGACAGGTCAAAAAGACAGCTGTAGGAGAGGATGGGCTCAGAAGGAAAAGGCATGAGAGGTAGAGGGACAGCATCAGAGACACCAATGTATGTATCTGCCTGTGGTCAGGGGGATGAGGCTAGAAGGGCCAGACAACAAGGGTTCTGAAGGCCAAGTTGAAGCAAGTGCTGCGCTCCAAAGGGAATGCACCCCGATGTCCCAGAGACAGGGTCACTGGGTCAAGAACTCCAAGCCCATCGACGTGCATAGGTCTTTAAGGAACAGCAGCTGCCACTGACTACTTCACCCCAGAGGAGAGGGCCATACAAAGTCATCTCCAAGGGGTAGGAAGGGGGGCTGAGAGCCCCACTTTGAGCCTTGGCTGTAGACAGGATGTGGCTTCCCCTGAGCTCTAGGTAAAGGCAATAAACACCACCACCACCTGAGCGCTTCCTAAGGCAAAAAAGACTACGTGTTTTTTCTTTAAATAAAAACCTTGAAATAAAATAAAAGGATTCCTTTTTGAAAGGTTCCACCCATCTAAAGGCCTCCCACCCTTCAAGTGCCAGATGGGGATTAGGTGACAGGAGAAGGGGCTGGCACCAGGAGGCGGGAGGCTCACGGGGTAACTTTTCTCCAAGGTCCCCTCCCACACCATGAACACGGTCCCCAAAGGCCGGTCCCTCTTGCTCTCTGAATCAGGGAGCTGAAGCACACACACCCTTCTCCCCAAGACCAGCCAGGAGGGGGCCGGTCCTTGGGAGGCGCCACCGGTGGGGGGCTAAGGCCGGGGGTCCCAGGCCCGCAGGACAGAGAAGGCTGGGGTTCCTTCTCGGTGTCCCTGGCCCCTCTCCAGCCCGGCCCCGGGCAGGAACATGGCCGAGCCACAGCCTGGCGGCCCCGGGGACCGCCACCCCAAAGACAGAAGGCGGGGGCTCGCCTCTCCCAGGGCTCCCGCGCCTCCCAGGCGATGACAATTTTCCAGCCACCGTCTCCAGCTGGCCAGGCTTTCGCCGCGCTCCCGCCCCGGGCTCCCCGCGATGGCCACGCCGTCCCGACCGGCGGGTGGCGGCGCCGACGGCGCTCCCGGAGCAGGCCGGCAAGGCTGGCGGTGGTCCCCAGGGAACAGGCTGCGGGTGGGATGGGAAGGGAAGGGGCCCGAGCGGGGGCACTCACCGGGGCCGCGGGGGTCGCCGCCGCGTCGGGCTCCAGCGTCCCGGGGACCGGCGCGCGCTCCCCGCCGCTGCCGCCGCCCCCAGCCGCCGCGAGCCCCCAGTGACTGGGACTGGGGCTGGGGGGCAGCCCTGAGTCCGGACTGTCCAGGACGCCGTCGCCCTTCTTCTTGGTGTCCACGAGCTCGGGCACATCCTGCAGGCTCAGCCGGCCCACCATGGCTGCTAGCGCGCTGGGGCCGGGAGCCGGGGGTCGGGGGCCGGGGACCAGCGAGGGGCGCGAGGGGAGCACACGCGGGCCGGGGCCGCTGCCCGCCCGGCCGCCCTCCCTGCCGGCTGCCCGCGCGCGGTCCGGGTCCCACGGGCCGCCGCGCTCCCGGCCCCGCCCTCCGCCCCGCCTCGCCCCGCCTCTCCCGGCGCGCGGGGACCGACCCGCACAGGCTGAGCCGGGAGGCCAGGCGCCAGGGGCCGCTGCGCTCCCGCCGTGCGCCGCCCGAGTTCCACTCGGCGCTGACGCCCAGTCCGCCTCGCGCGGCCGATTCGGGAGCGCTGGGGACGCCGGGCGGGCTCCGCCGCGGGAGGGACAGGCACCCCAGCACCGTCGCCACCCCGCGCCCCGCTACAGGTGGACGCGGGACGCTGCTCGCACCAGGCTCCTCTTGGCGCCCTGGCCCCTGGCCCTGGCCGGGCAGGGCCCGGCGGGCGCTAGTGGGGAGCCCTGGCGGTTTGGAGAGCCAGAGTGGAGTCCCGGCCTGCGGAGGCCTGGGGAGCCGGCCGAACCCAGCGAGCAAACAACTGGAAATTATTAATAGTTAATGCGCCTCGTATGGCTCCAAACGCCTCTTGGCTCAGCCTTGCGGGCTGTGTCTCCAGCTCTCACTTCTGCCCCGGAGGAGAAGACCTACTCCGAGTATCCTCAGGGGACTCCAGGAGGGGGACCCGCATCCCTCCCTGGTCTGGCGGCTCAGCTGAACATGCTGTGACCACACCAGACGGGAAAATTCTGCAGTGGGCGCAGACTGGGACCTCGAAAGACACGAGCTCAGTAGACTGCCCAAGGGGCTCTAATAGGTGGGGGCCCTAGTTTTCATTCATAGGAGTTCCTTTCTAAAAACCAGATTGGGGGATTCCTCCTTTCTTTAGTTTGACAGAGAGACTCCATCTCAGTGGGAACTCGGTTCAGTAGCGCCAGCTGTAGAACTGGGCTATCCTCAAATCTAGGACTTTTGCTCCCAGAGGCCTTCATGATTTTCAGTAAATGCTGGAAGCTCCCACCCCCACCAGCCACTCTCCTTTGGGAGTTTCTGATGGGTGTTTAGCTCAGGGCTTGGAGCTGGAGCCGCACCCAGACCCAGTTGGCATGTGCCAGCCCTGAGAGGCTCTGTGTCCTGTGCGCACCCACCCCCCGACCCGCAGTCTACGTCCTGGCAAAAACAGGTCCCCGCGCTTGGGACCTGTTAAAGCCAGAATTCAGAGTGGGTCAATGTTAGAGTTTCTCCTGGCAAAGTTCAGCCCTCCTACCTTCCTCACTCATCATTTTGAAGTAACAGAAAAGGGAATTGACTTGGTCCAAATCACATAGCAGGTAGGAGGCCGCTTGCCTTGGATCATTCCCTTCCCTGGAAAATAAAACCTGGCACATGCCTGTGTACTGGGAGGTCGCTCATTCATTTAGGGCCTGTGAGACTGGATTACAAAGTCAACAGGGCACAGTCTTGGACCAGTGGTTAGTGCAAGGATGAACTGTTAGCAGTGGGCCTTAGAAGCTGGGCCAAGTACGCGGCCGTTCCCTCCTGCCCATGATAATCCCACCATCTGCACCTCCCAGGCTGCCTTCAACACGGGAGACCACGGGAGGAATGGGCGTGCTTCTTGGCGTTGTGGAAAGCGTGGTCTGTTGATTGTGGGAGGACCTGGCGCCCTGGAAGGAATTTGCCCCCCAGCATTCCCAGCTACATCCTAAGAACCCTTCAAGTAGAGGTTAGGCAGGGCTTTCTGAACCCAGAGGACGGTCCTCAGGCATCACCCAGGACAAATGCCAATGAGTTCCTGAAGCATAAGCCAATGGTCCAATCTGGCCTCCTTCTCCACAGAGGAAGCCAGCATTAATTCACACACAGAAAAAACTGTGGAGGGGCTTGAAGACGATTCCAGCCCCAGGTCTGGACACTGATGAAGAAGCAGCGTTGGAGACCCACCCAGATTCCCCGGAAACAGGTGCTCCCTCTGCATAAGCCGCACCAAACTCGGGTCTTCCACTGGCTCCCAGCCAATCCAAAGACAATGAGGAGGGATCCCAGGTTTGTACCCCCCTGTCAGACTGTCTATGAAGAGCTCAAGGGAAGTCCGAGCAGATTGGAAACCACATGGTGACCGAGGGGAAGGAGGGGAACGTCCTGCCCACTCTGGTGTCTCCACCAACTCACCGTTCCTGGTGGAGACAAGCAGAGATGCTCTCACCATCCAGCTTTGACCTGCCCATGTGTCCTGAGTGTGAGATCAGGGGGACATCCTCTGTCACTATGAGGGAGCCATGCCCCTCAGCCTGGAAGGCAGCTGTATCTGCTCTGCCCAAGCAATGAGCTCATAATGTGAGTTCGTATGGTCGTCCTTTGGAAGAGCTCCATGACCTGTGCTCATTGTTGTCCTCGTCTTATTCCCGATTGCTTTCCCAAGGATGCTTCTTCAAAAATCTCTAACCAGCGCTGGAGAAGGACAATGGGTCCCACCTTTACCCACCCCTGGTCAGCCTCTGAAGACAGGCCTTCTTTTGAGGGATTGCTGGGGCACACCTAGAAATCGGGGGTGGGGGGACTCCATGACACCAGACAAGACCGCAGAGCCTGTTGAAGAGTGGCCTCTTCTCCATGCTGGCGTTCCAAAGCTGGACAGGGCCATGGTCCCCCTGCCTGGGTCACAGAGACCGATGTCCTCACAGGACTTGGCTTCTGGCCTAAGGCCTTTCTCAGAGGCGTCTGAGGAACAAAAGATGCCGATCGATGATGCCAATCCTGCATTTTCCCTTTTTCTGCACTAAATTAAGCAGATGCCTGAATGGAGTTGAGTCAGACAAGCACAGGGCAGGATCTCCCCCCCACCCCGCCCGGCCCCCAACTGCCGCAGCTTATTGTTTTGGAACAGCTGGTCTTCAGTAAACCCAGCCAGACAGCAGATTAAGAACATCCAGGGGTCCAGCACGCTGGCTTGTGCCCCTTGCCCCGTGGCACCTTGTCATCCCAGCCCCTTGGGTCCCAGGGTTCTGGAATTCCTGATGCGGTGGATTTGCCTTACCGTGGAAGCAGGTCCTTCCTCTCCTTCATCTGCCCCCCATCAAGCCAAATGCTTTCCAAAAAATGAAACTTTTTTTCCGTATTTTAGGGCTAAGATGATAGTTTTCAAAGAACATCAAAAGTGACCTGCTGGATTCAATTAAAAGGAGGAGTTGAATTGGGGGCACCTGGGTGGCTCAGTCATTAAGCTTCTCTGCCTTCAGCTCAGGTCATGATCCCAGGGTCTTGGGCTCGAGCCCCGCATTGGCCTTCCTGGTCAGTGGGAAGCCCAGTTCTCCCTCTCCCACTCCCCCGCTTGTGTTTCCTCTCTCACTGTGTCTCTCTCTGTCAAACAAATAAATAAAATCTTTAAAAAAAAAAAAAAGGAGCTGAATTAAAAAGGGGATCCTTGGAAATGACACCGCTCGTGGGAGTGTGTGTGCACAGGCGTGGTGAGGTCAATTTCCAACCCTGAGCCCCTGGCGCTCACAAAGATAGCCGCCACCAGAGAGAGCCAAGGGATCCCAAGGTTCTGTCTTGGCGATTTGAGAGAGAAATGGGCCTGGGGGCACGGGTCAGCTCCTTCTCTGACCTTTCAACTGGGTGGAAAGCCCTCTGGCTCAGCCCAGCGGGCGACACTGAACCTAGAAGCTGAATGCGGATTGGGGTGGAGTCAGGCTGGTGTCCCCTGTGTGGGGATCCCCTTGACCCCAGACACAGACTCTATCCTCCTCTATCCTATTTGTTTGCTGAGAGCAATGCTCCCAAAAGCTCCCTAGTTACACAGAAAAGGGCCATGGCCTCTGCAAAATAAAACCCAGATGGGATTTTGCAGAGAGCTGGGGCACACGGCCTCCTTGGAGCGGCATCAATACACTTGCGCTCCTGGCTCCGTCCTGTGTATTCACACTGGACAAGGACTTGCAGCCTAGAAAAATCGCTCTGAGTTGAGCAATTGAAGTTAAGACCCTTGGCTCCTTGGTGGAAAGGAAGGGTAGAAGGGTGTGCTGTCACCATCCCTGGGGAACACACAGCAGGTCTGTGCGGTCACACTCCAGAGGACACAGGGAGACATCGTGGTGTTTCAGGACCACCCCGGGATTCGGGCTTGCCTGGGCAGTGAGGGGAGAGACAGTGAGTGGGAGCCCATGGAGGCGGCCAGTTGGCTCTACGGTGAGGATCTGAGCCACGGTGTCCCTTCCTGGGAGCTGTAGCCCCAGAGTGCATTCCTCTCCTCCCCCAAGTTCAAAGCTGAGTAGACGCAGGCAGGAGGCGGCTGTGGTTTGCAGCAATGTACAACTGGGAACTCTCCATACTTGCTGAAGACATTTACGTGCCTTTGAAGAAATGTTTTTCAGTTCTGAGTCTCAGCTGAAAATTAGCCAGGGGTGGGGGAAGAACGTGGGGTGAGAGGAGAGGGACCAAAGAAAAACTGCTTCTCATGTTTTCCCACGCCATATCCCTGCGTGGGGAGGGGCGCTAGCATTTTCCTGCCTCTTGCCCTGTGCTTTTGTGGGATGACCCCAACCCCTGACAGGTATTTCTGGAAATCTCTGAAGGTGTCTCTCATGTGCTCATAAGTAAATCTGGTCACATACATGAGAAGCCTGCCGTCAATTTTCTTTTTCCTGCCCCCTCACCACCCCTGCCTCTGGTTCTGCTAAGTTGTGTGACGGTGTCCCACGATGGTGACCCACCACGGTCCCCTGGCAGGCTGCCCTTGCTGAGACCACCATCGGATCCACCAGGCGCCTGGGAGACGTCATAGCCATGCCTTCGTGGGTACCGTGCCTTTGCCCCTCACCAGGCACTATCCAAAGCCCTGGGCGCTGCTGCCAACCCTGATGGTGGGGAGGTTAATTTGGAGGGTGGTCCTGGAGAAGCATGGCTTCCTTTTTGCCAGCTTCTCGTACTAGGATTAGAACTTGAACCCTGCAGGGCTAGGCCAAGG